GCTAATCTCAGGAAGTACTGGTCCGATTTGAAAAATTCTTTCAGTGTTAGATAGCCCATTTATCGAGGAAGGCTATAGGCTATATATCATCACGCTAAGACTAATAGGAGCGGAGCACCAATGAAGAATGTTTCAAAAACGGAGAAAATTTATTACTATTGAGAGACGCAGACGAAGTTGCGCGGGTCAGCTAGTAGATGATAAATGGCATTAAAATCAATCAAAATTCATTTATCAAAGATTAGTTTTTCGCGAGTCTTAAGCTAGCGTAATAATAATAATTAATTGGCAGTGGCTTTGTAAATCAGTCACAGGTGTGATCATATGATTTATTACATGTGATTGTGACTTTAATCTATCCCTAATCTCCAGTAGGACGATTTTCTTGAATTTTATTACTTAATTAATTTTATTATTTAATTCTAATTCTAAACAGTATCACGTGACACACACGAGATCGTAATGTACGTACAGCGTACTGTCGAGGGCCTTGTTGAAAGTACCCGTAACCGGCGAGCGTGCATGAAAGCCCTGATGAATGTGAAAGAGGCGCGAGCTCAAATGTTGTTCTATCATCTTTGCCTACCCTGGACCGAAATGAGGTGTTAGTGTATACTGTTTTATTAGTGTTCTATTAAAAAAAAACTGTGTTAAGCCTTGTTACTAACATAACTTGACGTTTCCACATATCCCTTTACGTAATTTAATTCCTCAGAGCTCTTCAACAGGATTAAAGTAAGCCGATCACCAACTAAGTGCAGTCTTCGATGCACTATCATATCTAATTGTTTATTGAATTATTTATAATAGTAAACCCGTCCCTGTATAGGGGATATCCAGGGACGAATGAGTCATTTTTGGGGCTGTAGGATTATAGTAAGCTAATAATTGTTAGTGCGCGTATTGATTTCGGCAGCTGCGGATTTTATTACGCATCCATGGACCCTATTTTTAGGGTTTGTATTGTGCTTAGGCTATAAATAATTGGATTAGTTTTTGCTATTTGTGAATGCTCTTGAAGTTCCCCTCATGTTTTTGAAAGTTTATAAATCCTGTGGTTTCCACCAGTAACGTAAACCACGACTGAAACATTGAGAATAAACTACAAAGGGTATTTCACACTTATAAACAATAATTTCACAAAGAAAATGCAAATTTCTTTAAATCTTCGGATCTAATCTCAGGTTATAATATACCGATAGCAGCTATAGCTGGTCAATTATAATCCAAATTTAGTAGTAAGCGGACCGGAGTTACAAAATAGGAGAGAATGTACCTTTTAAATAACAAAAACAGGACCTTTAGAGACTCCAACCAAGTGTCACATTGGTCAATGAGGCGACCCTTCCAAAATAAAATATAAGTTTTAATAATCTGTCTTTTGTCATCTACTCGGGGGGTTACAAAACTTAATTACCATCCATTGTAGAACATCGTAAATCATTTCTCACGAGCTAGCCGTTGATGACGTCATGCAAACAAAGGCCCACGATAGGTCCAAACGGTGTCACGTGACCGCCACGCGTCAACTCGTTCGAAATTAGACTGAGGGCGCTTTTCTGACAGCTGACGTCATTACAGCCCATTTGAAAAAGGAATTTGCATATTCTTTGTGAACGAATCTTATTGGTGTAATCAAAATGTTAGGCAATCGAGAAATTACAATGACATTTTTGGTATAAAATGGAGGTGGAATTGTGACCGAAAATTGGCAGCAATGGCCACTTTATTCTAGAACAATGGTTAGAGATACTTAATTTAAAACAATTGGGTTCATTGAATCTAGTGATCTCTAAATAAGTGAATCTTTGAATAAGATCAAAGTTCTGTAATTATAGTCAGTAATTTGTACGCTATTGTTTTCTATTTTCAAATGTATATTGACGAAATATAATTCAGCCCGCCTAGTAGAAAGCCACACACACATCGTGCGTTAACAACTTTGTTAACCAACCGTGGAATAATGGCCACACTACCTACTGCACAAAAGTGTTTTTTTTTAAAACGTTACATGTGTCTTATTTGATAATTGAATTAATTTGAGAATGTATGTATTTTTTGTTAGTTTAGTATGAAATTAAAAACTATTATTTACTTTTTTTTTGGGCTAAAAAAACAGTTTGTCTAGAATTGCTTGGGAATTGATGATAAATATGCGATACTTTTCCCTTACTAATGAATAACAATATGTGTATTACACAATGAAGCATAAACTCGGATTGGCAAAAAGATTTGTACATATGTGAAAATAATAATAAAATACCTCACACATCTCACACACGACCGTCTGATTCTAAACTAGGCAGAGCCTGTACTACGGTAACCAGACTGCTGATAAACATACTTATATATTTTTAAATACATAAGTACATATTACATTGATGGTATACTAGATTATCACTAGGTTAACCATCCCTACATATTATAAAATAAAGTCCCCCGGTCGCGGTTGTCTGTCTGTATGAACAAGATAAACTGAAAAATTACCGAACGGATTTTTGTACGGTTATCACAAATAAACAGTGTGACTCCTGAGGAAGGATTAGATATATAATTCAATTTGTTTTTATATAAATTGAATAAAGTATAACGATTATTGTTGAAAAGGTCGCAAAAAATGTTGTACAAAGGCGGACTTAATGCCATTAGGCATTCTCTCCCAGTCAACCTTCAGGTGATGTAGAAATATGATGCGGTAGGTGCAAAATAAAATATTAAATTTAACATAATTAAAACACACACATACATAAGTAAACATACGTACATAAGCCTACATAAATTTAATAAAACATATAAATACTCAGTCGAGTACTAGCGTTGTGACTGTTCTGCTATTTCACTACGTACAAGATCGCGCACTTTTCTCGCGTACGCCGCGTAAACCAGCAGAGATACATGAAGTAATGTAAAATAAAGTAAATTGAGAATATCTTAAGAAGATTTAACTTACTTTTTAATATTAACTAAAATTATCACGGCTACCGAAACCCACGCAGGCGAAGCTGCGGCCGGAAGCTAGTGTAATAATATAAATAATATGAATATGACCCTTTTGTTCATATTCATATTATTTAACTCTAGTTTGAATCTAAATTAAAGAAGTAAGATCAGACGTAATCTTCGAAACGCGCTAAAATAGATACCAATCTATAAACGAACTAGGCAGCGTCTTAATCATCCATGCAAACTCCAAACACTGATCAAAACAAGCATACAACTGATTTGCAATATCGTGCAAATATTTGTCTACACTATTTGCACCCTCTAAAGTGCTGCCTACCCTCCGAAGGGTTTACTTTAATATCTAACGCCTAAACAAACTTCGATAGTACAGGGATGTCAATAAGGGATGTTTAGTGACGAATTAAGGGTCGAGAAAAAACGTGAAATGTGACTTTGACTTTGACGTGTAAAGGGATGTTGTGTTTTCTTTGAAGAAATTGTTTCAAGGAAATTGTGTTTTCGGAATTTGATACCTATTTATGTATACATTATATTTGGACTGTCTGTAGATGTCACTCGGTATTTTTGCTACTTACATTTCAGGACTAAATCGTATATGTGATGTATGATCAATTTACTCAATTAATACTCATGACTGCACGGATGGCGTAGTGGTTTAAGCGGTCGCCACGCCGCTTCCTACTACGTGTGATTTGATGATTGTGTGATCCACAAATTGTTGTTCTGAGTCTGGGTGTACTTTGTGTCCGTTTCATGTATGTTTTTAAAGTCCCCCGCGACACAGAATATATTCCCAATGCGGGAGTCGTCTTTTTTAGAAAAGCAAAAGCAAAGCAATAATCGAAGGCAACGATTTTCTGAAATTCATTCATCATTATTTGCTAGAAGCCTAGAATTAAGGCCTATTCCTCAATAACCTCAAAACAGACCGACCTTCATCCACATGCTTGCAACTTTTATAAGATCATCTGACCACCAAATTTGTGGACGTCCTAAATTTTCCCTGACAATCTTTTTAAAATATTCAAAGTTGCATTGGTTTCGATCAGTTTGAAATTCGTCAAGCATGTACTAATATTTTTTCTTGACTTAACACTTAATCGAATCCAGATCCATAGGTTAGCAAGATACAATCAGATTTATACAATATAGGTTGGACAGCATCGTACCACGCAAAAAAAAAGAAGATGACAGTTATAAAGCGAAGTCTTTTTATAATTTCTGCGACATAATCAATCAACGTCACGGAAACTCATAGACTCCCTCCGAAGGTAAAGATGTTATTTTTAACTGTCTGTAAACGACCTAATTTAAAAAGATCTTAAATATCACCTGTTTAACTGCTAAAGGAAAGATGATTATTGAAAGCATGGATACTTGTCTGACACATTACATAAAGTCAGTAAAATACTGCCAAGGTGTAACTCATTTTTATGCGGTTTAAAATTTTGTTTCCATTTAAAAAAAAACACGCTTCTTTTCGTTCTGTATGAAAGAAGATAACGGTCTAATAAGTCTGATACTTCCTTAATAAACCTAAATGGTCAACACAGCTTAAGTCACTTAATTGCTTATGGATTCGTAATCTGCAATATGGTCAGTGAGATTTGTTGACATTTGAGTCGTATAGTATCAAAGACGGCAAAGTAGGTCGAACCAAATTTTTGGCAAACCAAAAAAAACTGCTTATTCTCATATTTAGACAAAGATTTTTATATTGAATATTTCTTTGTGATTTGTAATTTTGACAAATGTCAATAAACATTAAACCCATAGCATAACATGATCCGAAGGCACCATAATATTTAAATAAAGTTACTAGATTGCCGCTTTTGATAGTCAACTTAAATAATGACCGTGTTTGAACCTAAGCTTGGTAAATATAGCCGCCTTTGATACTAACCGAATGTCATGATAGCCGCGTTTGAATTCAACAGTTTTATCGAAGAACAGGGTTGTCAAAATTAAAGAATGTTATTTACTGAATATTTTTATTGTGTAATGTATTACATTAATAATTGCGGGCATTGAATCGGTTAAACGTGTAATTCAATAGTTTCGCCAGTTGATTCGTTGCAGAAACTTTCTTCGGTTTGTGGAGCCACTAGTTCCTCTTGTGTTTGGAGGAGTTCTTTATAAAACATTAAAGAACGTAAAGCTACCCACTCAGACCCGTAATGTTTTTGGAGAAGTTTCTTTACATCCTGTAACTTATTTTTGTTTACGGCTACAATATTTGGCAGAGGTTCAGGATTTAGCATAGATATTTGTTTATTTCGCTGACATATGTTTTCAAATTTACCTAAATCTGTTTTATAATTTAGTTCTCCACGCACTAGCACATTTCCAGCTTTCTTTGACTTTCTTAATATAAATCTTTTACATTCTTTAAACTGGACTAACCATGACGTAGTTTGTTTTAGCACTTTTCTGACTTTGTCCCTCCAATCACTCACAATACAATCACTTCCGAATTTCACGATACTTGAAGTTTCTCTTATGATTTCTGTTATCTCATTTGGATGCAGAATAACTTCCTTGTTTTTCAGTTTTCTTTCAATCACACCAAACTGTCGGTCCGCAGGCATAAAAGAATGCCCAGTAACTGGAAATATCAATTCAATTGAATGAATACAAGGGTTTTCCAATAGCCATTTTGAACAGGTCCCCAAAACTATACAGTTTTTGTTTTGCCCACCGCAACCGTCGGCGATCAACCGAATATGTGTGATATCGGTTTTGTCGGTTGCGGTGAGTCTATGATACACAGCAGATGCAATGAGATTAGAATCTTTATTGTACTCATTTTCAGTACAAACGTAAGCAAAAACATTGTTCTTTGTCAATGGATTTTTCGAAGTACCCTCCACCATCGTAAGATTATAATAATAAAGTTGACGACTGTAATATGTTGACTGGTCGGGCAATTTCGGAAGGGGCAGGTTTTTTTGACAGTCAAATGAAATTACTTTCACATGTTCAGGTGCACTGCCTAATTTTTCAAAAAATGCTTTCGCTCGCAAACTGTGAACACGTTTATTTACCATCAATAAATTTTTCTTAATTGGGTCTCTTTCAATTTTAATTTTTTCCTTAAGCTCCAAGCATGTGGAGCACACATCAGTCTTTGGTGTTCCAAACCCAATATTGTACGACGTGTTAAAAACATGGCGGAAATACGACAACTTCACTAGAGGATCTACATGTTCACTTACTTTGTACATTTTGAATAATTTAGACAAACTTAATTCAGATGGTAGATATTTTCGTTCAGCTGATTTCGATTTTCTACAGTAGTGAGACTCTATGCATTGCAATGTTGCAATGTAGTTGTGAATAGATCGTTTTTGATCAGCGAACTTTGCTGTTTTGCGGTCTCCTCCACGATGCTCAGTACCAACTTCACCAGTGTAATAAAACTTTTTCATTACAAATGCCACTCTGTGTTTGGTAATTCCAAAAATATGCAAAAAGAATTTATTACAGATAGGTATTCTCGTCTTGTTAACAATCACTCCATATTTTATGGTAGTTTGCTTCTTCCCCTTATATTTGTAATGATTTTTACTGGTACGGTTGGCAGACATTATTTTACATAATTTTAAGAGTATAGCATCTTGGTCTTTTTTATTCGTATGGGAATAAAAATCCTGATGAATTTTTTTCATTTGCGCCATAGTTAAATTCTGACATTTAAATGCTGGTGTATTGTGATGGCAAACTCTCTGCGGCATACTCTTTGACTCATACCTAAACAAAAAAAAAATAGAAAATGTGTGAATGTTACATGTCTTACGACCAAAAAGGCCAGGCAACGCAACGCAGGTCGCAGGCTAAAAATTTAAACTGTAATTTATAAAGTTATTTTTTTACTTCCTTCTCATATTATTTTATTCTCAAAATATTATATTCTGTAAATACTACAATTTTGTAACATCGATCACATGAGTGTAATACATAATAAGTAGGTAACATTCCTAATGAATTATCAAAACAAGTGCTTTCTAATTATACATACAGTATTTAGAGAATACATACTTATATAATGTTATGAGAAGAAAGAGATATAGAAAAACAATCAATCTTATGAAACGAAACTATGGGGGCGATGTTACAGGTAAAAGCTAGTAATTATCAAAACTAAAGAAAAGTTAAGTTTTAAATTACTATTTACATAGTAAGTTTAAGTGACAACCCTATCATAATGAACAACGTGAAATTACCTTTGTTTTTTTATCACATTTTTCTTCCACGTATCGCTGTTCCTTTTTCGTTTTCTAGTGTAGTTATTAGTAGCAGGTGTTAAGGTATGTTCCATGATTAGAATTACTTATGTTTAGACACTAAATCACTATAAAAACAATAAAAACTTAAGATAAAATTGCACTCAATTTGCACTATCCGCCATGTTGCGATGCGACTGCAAGGACCCCTCTCATTGGTGGAAACTAAAAGATGGCCGGTTATGATTCTAAGTTATGAAAGATTGCCAGCTTTGAAACCCAATCGAATTTTCAATCAAGTTTTTAAGTGTATTATGGCCGTCTATGTTCCTGAATGACAGATTTAATATGCATCTTTTTGGATTTGATGTGTTGCCATACCCATAACTCATTTTTGAATATCTACCTACTTTGCCGCCTTTGATACTATACGTCTCATTTTCAGCTGAGATAAAAGAAATAACTGTTGTTTTGTAAAAAAAAACGGTCCAAAAACAGTGTAATATTTTTGCTTTACCTTTAGTGGAATAATTAATAAGTCCTTCTGAAAAGGCGTACAGCGACTCTTGTTACTGTGAATCGTAATTTAGAGCTAGTAAGTCAGTTTACTAAATACAACCCAGTCAACAAAGTGCTTAATTCCACACATACTTATTTCCTCATTCCTGTGGGAGCTCGAGTGCATTTGTAGCCGGTTATGGTCCGTGCACACTATGCGACTTGTCTTAAAAGTACGTGCCCTGGAATATAATATATTGCAGTGCATTAAAATAATAGAGAATGAAGGTTTGATTCAGTTACAAGCACTGCTTTAGATGTGTATGAAATTTTAAATTTACTTTATTCTATTCATGTAATAGTCACACCACTAATACAATAATAATATATTTATATATATAAATAAATCATTTAAATAACTGTCTGTTAACTATTGAACAATATATTTCCTTAACCCTAAGTAGCACTAAGTTACCAAAAGTTTCCATACCTTTGATTGCCTAATGTTTCGATCAGGTTGTACAGACTGTGGTTACGGGTGTGTTACACCTCATCATGATTTAATTCAACAGCCTTTAATAGTCCACTGCTGGACATAGGCCTATCCGGACTATGGACAGTGGACAGAAAGGAGGTTTTAGTCAAATATACCACGCTGGCCCGACGCGTTGGTATAGGGTTTGTTTCAAGTTTTCCTTCTCTTTGCATTGCTATTGTCCTGTGGTTGTGTTATACCTATTTACTTTAAATCATAATTCTACAGCGTCGCTAATGTAAATTTTGTAATCACTTACCCCTGAATTTCATGACAAATGGTTGCAAAATTCTAACAACCCCAAATTCGCATTTATAATAGCAGTTGTTTAGTGTTAAACACTATCTATTCTATTAAAACCCCAATTTTCGATTTCATATTTAGCGACTTATGCACGCTGATCCCTGCCAGACAAATGATATAAAATTTATATATAAGGTAATCTCTTCTCTACGGTAAGAGAAAGATATTTTAAAAATAGTACTACATACATTTACTGCAGAATTTGACGAACATAACGACGCAATTTTCAATTTGCTGGTGTAAAATAAACTTAAGCTGTGTCGTAACGTGGTCGCTGATAGATAGCCGGCACAGAAATGAGCTTTAAATTACAAGTTTCCGTTCGAAATTGAGATGTATGCGCGATCTGTTTTCGTACCCTGTTTGAACTACTTCCGTATGCTACTGAAAATAGGAAATAGGTTTTTAAACTTGCACATTCATATTTTTTTGTTGTAACAACTGTAACAAACATAAAACCAACAATTTTTTTCCAATGGTAATATGCTTCATAGCAAAAAAATTGCTAAATCTGTCGAGCCTTTCTCATTTGATGTATTTTTTGTATTTAGAAAAGAAGGTAACCTGTAAAAGGAACAAAATTTTAAAAGTTAACCTTCTTTTTATTTATTTTAAGGTTATTTTCTTTTTCATTTAGCATCAAAAAGCTATCCGGTCTTGATTTAATTTTTTTATTACTTTATTAAACAATATTTATTGGGATTTGCTTTTGTTTAACAACAAGTCTACCACGTTTACAAATTAAACACTCCGTTTACCAATACGCCTACATGCCGCAGACATTGACTGAAGTTGGCTCAAGGGCGTGTCAAGCTCGTGACAGCTGTCAAAATGACAGCCAACAGGTGTGAACCGTAGCGAGTTTCGACAGTTATTGAGTGGGGCGTGTTGTTATACTTAACGTCTAGTAGAAAATAATTGAGAGTTTTTTTTAGATATATGTTTTCATTGTTACAGAATGCCACTTCTTGCAAATATTACAGAAAAGATATATCTGTTTCTAAAAAAGGTTGACTACAGACTAATAAATGAAGTGTTTTTATCAAATCAATTTAACCGTGGATAAAATAATCGTAGAAAACTACGTTATTAGCTTGAATTTCTAAACGAATCTTGAAATGTTTTTCCGCATTTCAAAATCACATTCAAAAATCAACGCTTTACAAAAATACACGTCAACTCAAAATCGGCCATTGAGCCGAGCGGTGACGGAAATAGACGAAAATAGCCGAAACCGACCATTTCCTTTTCTACACCTCTTTTATTTTGTCTCAGAAATAAGAGCCCTTGTGTACTCGTCACGCACGGGTTCCTACACTAATTTGTAGTTTTCTTTGCTAATGGACGAACGATTTTTAATCTCATTTCCAGTGTTTCTTGCTGGATATTAAGATGGCGGGAAGTTTTTTGTAATGATCTGTTTTCATAGGGAAATAAATTGAGTTTCACGTAAGTTATTGACCTGTTAAGACGTGTTAGGTCTACCACGCCACGGTGTAGACTAACGATTTCTTTCAAGTTAAATTTCATACATTTATTAGTTAGCTGTTGGTCCATAGATTATATATACTATCTATGCTTTTCAAATAAAATTGATTTAATGTACTCGTATGTTGTAGAAGCCGCAAAAGTGTGAAGATTACTTAACCCTCCAAATAAAAGTAAAGAAAACTGTGGCAATTTTGATTAACACATCATTAATTTCAAAAGTGATTTCTTCATCAAAACATCAATTGTACAGCTAAACAAATAGATGTTACTTCCATTTAAGTGATGTTTAATGTACCTACATACGATACGAGACTAATTCTTCGTAGTACTGAAATAGATCGGGAAGGGAACTTTGCCTATTTCTATATTTATAAATACGAGAGATGAACACAGTTTAAAGTTGAAAATGTTTGTGATTTGAATGAGTTGCACTGTGATCTTGACTGCCAAGGTTGATTAACGACTTAGATCTTTATGGCGATAGTTATAAGGCGTTATTTTTAGTAAATACATCAATGTTTACTAACTGGTAGAGATTTAAATTTGAATGTTTTTTTTATTAAACTGGCAACTTTGAATAAGGAGTGATAAACTGATCTAATTCTTCTACTGAACTTTTGGAGTCAAGACAGTTTGAGTTAAAAGCAATATTTTTAAATTCAGAACACAAGGCTCGGAATTCAAAAAAGAAATGTATACCGTACTCTTTGAATAGAAGTACATTACCTTTTATTTCAGTCCGTTCCATTTTACGAAAGAAATTTATTCAACCATATCTGTGCAACTTACGAACGATAAGATATATTTCAGTTCAAAGCAGGGTCTTGTTACAAATCTGAAACTCGGTCTATTGGTCCCTTTGTGAGTTTCAGGTCATCTTATCTCTAGGTGCAGATTTTTGTGGGCGTTGAAACAAAACTTGCGCTGGCCGGCTGGGCTCAAATGGGCTGGAGCAGACAAGATACGGCCAAGACTAATTTTCAATTAAAACTTCATCAAACTTTAAGTTGGTTGGAAGTTTAGGTGTTGGTCCAAGCTGAAGCCAAACAATAGGAATAATTGTGAACGCAATTATAAACTATCACGAAATTCTAGCTGAAAGTAGTTATTTTAGTTAATACTTCTGAATAAAGCTGCTTTGTATTTAGTACCACAGAAGTAAAGATGTTTTAAAATTGTCATCAACTGCATTCTGTTTGAAATTTTGTATTGCCAATTTCACTCATTTAAAAAGTAACCATGTTTTACACACACATATGCAGAAAATTGTACTTCAATTTATCAGAGAGGATCGTAAGGAACGAGGACGATCGAAGGAATCGTAATTCTATTATAGGTAGCGGGTGTTATAACTATTATATGAGATAGTAATGGTTTTCCCTCAGACTTGTAACACGAAAATCGATCGAAGTGACGTGCAATTGAAGAAGTCTATGTCCAGCAGTGAATGTGACGTAGGGTGATAATGATGACTCAAACAATATATCATATGGCCCGCATGGTTTAGTATGCCAAAAACTCATTTCTAAGGAGAGGCCTGTGTCCAGCAGTGGACTATTAAAGGCTGTTGATATGATGATGTGTGATGGTTACTTTTTAATTGTTTACTTATGTATTTGTAATAAGTGTCATACACAGTAACTTCGCACATATGTACGTTTTGGTCCTATATGCTAGACACATAAATGCATAATATCACCAAGTTAGATGTGAGTTTGTGTGTCATTCATTAAAATACTTGCATAAAATCAGATATCTAAGCGTATTGTTTGTCCAGTCGCTGTCATTCCTAACTTGCACCACCGAAGATAAGATCTTAGCTAAACTAACTTTAGGTAACTGGTTCGTAGCGAATTTTCGTAAACACGCTTTAATTATTTACACTTTAATAGTGAGTTTCTTAATTTTTAATAACAGCTCCGGCAGATAAGCTAACAGCAGAGTAAAAGGTATTATTCACTAAAACTAAGGTTTTTAATAAAACAGTGGTAGGTTTTCCATAATAGTTTTATACAAGTGTCGTTTTCATCAAACATCTGTTTGACTGCAAAGATGGCGTACTGGTTTTAGCGGTCACCTCGATGCTTCCTACTGTGCTGAGTATTGTGGGTTCAATCCACACATATGACTACACTTGTGTGATACAAAAATTGTTGTGTTTAGTATCCGTTTCATTTATGTTTGTAAAGCCCAGGCGACACGGGCTATAATCATAGCGCGGGAGTTGTCTTTAAAAAATAATGCCCGAAAAACTGATGTGGAGGACAA